TTCGTAATATTATGTTATATATTGCGCAATATTTCGCAATTTATTGCGCAATATTATGCCCAGACTGTAATTATTGCACAATATTTTGGGGCGTAATAACTTGCATAAGTTTACATTAATATATTTTGCTAATGACGTTAACCAGATATGGAAATGTAAGCACTGTGTAACCTATGCCGATCGTTTGGAGGGGGTAAGCCAAATCCCCACTTTTTGTCAAAATTTTTGAAAGACCGACGGGAGGGCGAGTAGAAGAAAAAAAGGAACCATTTGGCCGAGTAAAAGAGTGTGGCTTGAAGAAAGGCAAGTACTTGTTGTTTCTTCTGTGTTCCTCGTTTCGAAGTAACAGCCTAAGTGCTTCATTGACGGAGAAGACTCCAGTCTCTCCACCAAGATTTTGTATCCAAAAGCACACACCTCCTGCCAGTTATTTTGTATACCAATGCTCTTGGCTTGCATGCCAAACACACAGCTTATAAAGGAGTCTTAGAAGAGAAAAACCGTTAACCTCTAGGCAAACCACACGTTAGGCCACAACTCTCTAACAAGATTTTTGTTTTTCTTTGGTAGGAAATTCTAGTCCAGATGATTGTCAGGAAGAGTTTTGTTTTTTTATCTTTTTTATTTCCTTTTGATTTCTTGAATTTCTTATTATTTATTAGTAGATTATTTTACTTAGAAGGCTAAAAGAAAAAGGTTAAGAAAGAAGACAGTTATAACAGGCTAGTGAACCAGATTAGTGATCTAGAGTGAGTTTCTTTGAGGTAGAAAAAACCAAACTAGAAAGCTAAACTCATCTTTGACAAGTTGCACATGGATGCTAACAGTACTTAAATATCTAAAAGTAATTAGATAAGCCACATTCTAGTTTTTTGTTAAAAATAATATTGTGTGTCAATTATTTTTGAATAATTAAAGTGCTAGGCATGTAATATGACTGTTCAATTTTTTTTTTTTTTAAAAAAAAAGAAGATGCTTAATTTTAGATTTTTTAATTAAAAAATCTAAAATTAAATATATTTTTTTAAATTTTGAAAATTTATAAAATTAAATATACTAGTATAATATATTTTTATATGCTAATCAAGATTTTTTAAAATATAAAATTAGAATTAGGCCATGCAAAATTAATTATAACCCGGCCAGGTCAAAATTTGAGAATTTCAAAAAAAAAATTTTATATGTTTTAATAACCGGGTGGGAATTGAAAAAAAATTTTATATAAATTTTATAAAATTTTATATATGAAATTTTTTAAAAAAAAGCCAGCCAGCCAGGTCTATTCAAAAGTTTCATGTTATAAAAACCAAGTAATTAAATTTGTATGGCCTTAATTAGTAAAATTTTAAGAATTATAATATTTTACATAATTTTATTAATAAAAATACTAAAAAATACCAATTTTACTAATTGATTCTAACTTTATGTTTTACTAAATCTTGTTTAGTATATAAAAATACATTATGCTAGCATATTTAGTTTTATATTTCTTGAAATTTAAAAGAAGATGCTTAATTTTAAATTTTTTTGATCAAAAAATCTAAAATTAAATGTTTTTTAAACTGTAACTTCTTTTTACAATATTATAATAATTATTTGTCACAAAAATTGGCAAAAAAAATTGTTAGTGCAATTTTTTAAATACTAATATTTTGCTAATGATTTACCAATTTTGCTAATCTATATATAAAATCTGTATTATTAATTTTTACTATAAACACCTGATATAAATTTAATTAATTACGTAGTATATACAGGACCCCAATAAAGATTTTAGAGTTAACACTGGCATAAAGTTAATTTGACGATTCTTATTTAAAGTATTATCCGTGTCAATAGCTATGTAGATTACTCTCAAGAATTTAAAGTGTAGAGTTTATAGAATTTTATAATTTTATATTGTACCTGTGATGCTCTAGTATATGTAAAATTTATATTTAGACGTTAACTTATACAAATCAATAAATAACTTTCAGTTCCTGTGGGTACTAGAAAAAAAACACTAACTAGTTAATATAAAAATTTTTTACTTCTACTATTCAATACATACATGTATATCAAATTCGTGTATTTGGTTGGTCAAGATGATATGCACGGTCAGAAGATTAGTGTAACTTTTATTTTCTCACAGTTCTTACTAAACGTGATCCAGTAATTGGAAATTTAAAAATATGGTAAGGGCCAGTGTTGGCCGATGACCAATATATGGGTAACGGACCCCTTTCGGTATTAGCTGTCGAAGGGGGTCTTCCTAGTCTATTACCCATATGACCTTTATGACCAGTCATAGGTTATTTGGTTATAATGAAGGCTAATATTTTAATGATTTATGACCAAAAAGTCATATGAATTATATGACAAGGTCATATCAAAAATGTTATGACTTAGGGCAATGTAATTAATTACCTTTTTTTTTTGTTAAGAGCCTATACATATATCACCTTTTAATATATAATTTTTTATTTTTTTTATACCGTATATAAATTTTTACACCCCTCCCTTAAGTCAGGTCCGAGGCGCGTTAACATTATATAATTCTTATGTCGAATAAGATGCATTATAAAAGGCAATTTATTTGAAGGGGGTGAGAGAATCAGCACTTGTTTTACTAAAATAATTTGTGCTACATGCATTTTTAAAAATCGGTTAAACGGTATAAAAGTATCCAATAAAATTTCAAGTCGATCGAACTGGCCGGGATCGACAGTGTTAACATTAGTAATCTGCTTAAAATTGTTGCGACTCACTTCCCTCAAAAACCTCCTAAATCATGGTTTTTCCTACGCAAACTGAAAAAACCAAACCCATAGAGCGACCACCAAATCATCAAGAACAGTTTGATGAATATGAAAACATAATTCGAAATACCGGTTGTTATCAAGAAAACCAAGAATTGCAATTATGTTTTACGGATAAGCATGATTGGAGGTTGTGCAAAGTAGAATTAGAGAAATTTAAAGAATGCTGGAAGAATAACAAAAAAAAACATTCAAATGAATCTGATGACCGGCAATAACTACAAAAAAAGAAGGGTTAAAAGAATGTTTATGAACGGGGAATATAAAGTTTGTTCAGAAATAATTTGTAAAGTTTACAAGTAATTATTGCTGAAAAGCCTAAAGTCTTAGGAATATGCTCAATAATTTCATGAATAATTGATAAAATAAAATTTGACCAGCGAAAATAACGAATTGTGCATTTGACGTTAATCACGGCAAGATAGTTATGCATAGAAGTCTCTGCAAGTTTGTTATCTTTTTGTTTTTTGTTTTTTTTTCCTGCTATATGAAATGCAGGGATGGTATTTTGGGAGATCCGAAAATCCGGGTTTCCGGGCATTTGGAATGATCAATGCAAACGAGTATCACGTTCGTAATTTACATTTAAAAGGTACGTACGTGCGTGCGTACGTACGTACTTTATTGTAGTTTTTAAAGTCAGACCATTTATAAAGTATCTTTTAACCTATTTTTTAAACAACAAATGCCAAAAGCGCGACATCGCAGAAAGAGATCAAAAGAACAAATTCAACGTCCTAACCATAAATTGCCACCTGAGCTTATCTCAGAAATTTTCGAATATCTTTGGGGTGGTATTCTGGACGAGTCACCTTATGAATATGAAATACCAAACGCAATAGACGACCATTTCTCGCAGGAGAGGTCGGACCTTTTCAGAGTGTCAATGGTATGTTCAGTTTGGCGACAAATAGCTATACCCAGAATCTGGCAAAAGGTAAAATTTCAACTTGATTCCGAAAGGGATTGGAAATCTTTGTTCCAGTGGCTTATGGAAGGGGGTTATGGCAGATATGTCAGGCAGATTCATGTCGAATACGATTATGACCCTAAACATAATGAAACTGCTATTTCATTAAGCGAAAAATTTGAGGGTATTGTAGAATTTGCTGAGACCGTTCCTAACATGCATACTTTTGCTGTGAGATTTAATTCTACTACTTCTGATCATATCGCGGAAGACCTTCCACCAGTCATGGATAGTTTCTTTCATGAGATATCAGCATCATGTCGATCTGTTCGACGTGTCAAAATTCATACATCTGGCTTGCGTGGGCCAAATAAAGATGATACCTTAAACCTTCCATCAGTTAGTAATCTCATATCCATGGTGACTAATACCGTGCGAGAAGTTGATTTAATGATGCATATTGCAACTCGAGAAACAATTGAAGCGCTTTGTAATTGCAGAGGAGTTGATCGTGCGTTAGTCCATTGTTGCAGCTGGGGCGATACTCCTGGCGATTATTATACATTGTTAATGTCTTGGAAACATCTAAAAAATCTGCAGATCGAACCTCCACATAACATAGATTTAAATTGGGAAGAAACATATACAAAATCACTTCAATATCTCTCTGAAAATTGTGGTGATCAACTAGAGGAATTATGGATGCCCTTACGAGAAGAAGACCAAAAATTATTTTGTAATCTTGTCGAACATACACCAAATTTGAAAGTGCTAGCTTTAGAAGGGAAAGATTTCGAAAAGGATGGACAATTCTTAAATGTGGTAGCTAGAACTACACCAAATCTTAATTACATTCATTTATCATACTTTCCTGCTATCACAGGCAAGGATGTGAAAGTTGTCAATTGGGATCAACTTATTGATGTTAACATAATGGGTTGTGAATTATTGGAAAAAGAAACAAGATTTTTTGATCGTGTAAAAGAAGAATGTTGTCCACAACTTAATATTCATATATATGATCTTGAAGGGAATGTGGTGGAGAATAGGTAGGGTTTCGACTCAAACTTTTTTTTTGAATTATGACATTACTACGTAGTTTGGGTTTTGAGAATCAGAATTTTACTTCATTTGAAATAATAATCAAAACCAAAATGTATGTCCCATTTTCGGTTAATAGTATCAAACTCTAAAAAAAAATATCAATCAATCAAATTTGTTAAATCAATGTTATAAATTATTAAACCTTCAGAAATTAGTGCTTTAGCGGCTAGACAGGATGAGATAAAAGTGGTATTTAGTCTAATAGTTATGTATACAATAAGTGAATAATAATTACAAAAGTAAAAGCATTTCACATTCATAATAAACTTCAACTCGTAAATAATAAACTTTTTGATCAAAGTTTGCCTAATAAAGTAAAAAATCTTTAGTGAAGTAATATCTATCAATTCTCAGTTTCGATTCACAAAACACTTGAAACTAAAAAGAGTACGTATTATTCCATAAACCATCAAATTTGTCTTTGATCTTTTTTTAAAAAAAATTCAAATTTTTGATAATACATAATAAGGTAAATGTGGTTATTATGACGAAGTCAACAGCTTTTATTAATGAAAATTTCTGAAAAATCTTTATATCCTTAACTTTTTATTTAATTTAATGCAGTTCTAGACCCTCTTCACTTTTATATATAAAAAAATTGGTACTTTATTTAACTACGTGATGTTAGATAGAAGACTACACTTTATTTTACGAGGGTAAAATGACGAATGTATGTACTTTTATAACAAATGATACGTTTTGCGATTTTTTTTTTTAGTTAATAAGAATTATCTTTTTTCAAGAAAACAGGATTTTCTCAAGTAAAGCTAACTTTATCTACTAAGTAAAGTTGTTCAATATCAAATTTTAGTAAAATTCGAATGACTTTTTCTAATAACTTTTTTTTATTATACATTTTGGTGCAATAAATTAATTTTCTGTATTAAAGCATATATGAAAAAACTTATTAATAAAAGATTATTTAAATTGTATCAAAATTTAAAAATAAATAAAAAGATAGTATGTTAAGCAACTTAGTAAGTAAAGTTAGATTTACTTTAAAAAAAATACTGTTTTTTTTGTAATATATTTAATTTTTTTTTTTTAAAAAAAAATTTGGCAATTATGTAAAATTATATGCTATATATTTTCAAGCTATTTTATATCAAGTACAAATGCTGCAGCCCAGTGTTGGCTCTACACTGAATCCAAAGTTATAAGTATTGACTAACTCAGCTCTTTGCAATAAAAGTTCAAATTACTCATGTTTGATCTGTTATTAAACTTTTTTTTCATACTAAACTTTTTTGTAATCAAAAAGCTTAATATATCACCAGAAGGCATTTATATTCTGGTTTATTATGATTGCTTTCTCCTTTTTTAATCTAAACTTTTTTTTCTAATATTCTAAATAAACAACTCAATTTTTTTTTTAAAATTTGGCAATCATGTCAATACTTTATTAGAGTACAATATTTAACTTACAGGAAAAATATGATTTTTAACTCAAGTTATCTCAAGCCTATCTAAATTACAAGTATTAGCTAACCCAGCTCTTTGTGATATCAAAATGTCCAAATTACCTATGTTTGATCTGCTATAGTAAAGTTTATCTCTATACCAAAAAATCTTGCAACTGAATAATTTAATACATCACTGAATAGTATTTACAGTCTATCAAGATTGTCTTCGTTTCTAACTTTCTTCTTCTAGCTTTTCGAGCAGAAGGATTTATAGTCTTCAACTGACTTATAAAAAAAAACCAATACTAAAAAAAATATAAGAGAATAACATGAAAGAGGAAAAAAAAAACTGTCTAAACAACAAAAAAATGAATAATAAAAACAAATGAAAGAAGAAGAAAAAGGCAGAAAAAAACAATTTATAAAAGCACTATTATAGCCTATGCTACTGTAAATTGCCGCATAAACCACCCTGCATGACAAATAATACAGATCAATTTTTTAAAATAATATTTATATGCAATATGTAATACAAACAATTGTGTAAAACATGTGATTTTTAATTTTTCACTATGTAAAAAATCGCATCACACCAGGTGGTTTATGTGGCAATTTATGGTAGGCACAGTTGTAAAAATTATATACTAAATTTAAAATTCTTGTATATTTTTATTATAAAGCTAAGCCTTATTTTTAAATTTTCTTCTGACTATACTATCTAATTCAGGTCAGTTCATTAACCTAAACACTGATTGGTTTGTTACATGGTATAAAAATATTATTGCTAAAACAATTCTGTATTTATATTCTACTTCATATATTTGAAAATAGAAAGTGTAAACAATGCTGATTTTTTGGAAGTTGTAAGCTAGAATGCTTACTTTTTGTTGAAATTTTTGTAAGAATAGCAGAAAGATAGAGTAAAGAGAGAAAAAACTACTTGTACAAAAAATAAAAAAGCATAAATTTCTTTTACTAGAATCAACTATATTCACACTGAAGTATATACAATACTAAGTCTTTTCAATGAGTAATAAACTCTAAACTTGTTAGCAAATAGCATATAAGAACTATCTCTAAACAACAAGTGCCATGTCTGTAAAAACAGTAAGTGATAAGCTCTAAAAAAATTAGCAAATAGTATATAAAAACTATTTTTAAATGATAGTTGCTATTCTAAGGTCTCTCTTCTTGTGTCTTATAGTTTAATATAGCTGTTAGTATTTTTTTCTAGTAAAAAGTTTTTTGAAAATTTTTAGTAAAAGTGATTATTAAAAAGAGTTACTTGAAAATAAACAAACTAATATTTTATTTATTTTATAAAAAAACTTTTAGAATGAAAAAAAAAAGAGAAGTTTTTTAAAATAAAAAAAATACAATACTATCTAAATGAAAACCAAATAATAACAAAAAAAAAAAATAAAGGAACAAAAAGTAAAAAGAAAAAAAAAAAAATCTTATAATAAACACATTATTATAACTAATATCAAGTAAATTTAAAAATTATATAATAAATACAATATTTGTATATTCTAAAATTAATATCTCAATCTGGATATATTTTTTATATCCAGATTAATCTGGTTTTATCATAGTATAAATTCAGATATAAATTTAAATCTGGATATATTTATATCTGAATTTAAAAATATTATATCATATTATATCATATAACATAGTATATATCTAGATATATAAATCCAGATAAGATATTAACTCTAATATATCTTTATTATAAAGCTTTGCCTTATTATTTTGTTACTTTCTAACTTATAGCCAACTTTAAATACCTTTTTAATTTAAGATTATGATTTATACTATATAGAGTAGTACTATATTTGTAAATAAACATGATATATGATTGCAATTTACTAAGTTAGAACCCCAAAGATCTTTGATACAACTTAGATCTAAGTTTGTATAAAGTTTGTATAATTTCAGCCAAATAGATATATAAAATAGAGCAAAATTTAAAAATTTACTATATAAAAATATAATATTTGATGAATTTCTATATAAAAAATTTTCTTTTTTGGTAATATATAAATTGTATTAAAGTTCTTTAGGGTTCTACTAAGTCTGTTCAAATTTGGAAATAAACAATGCCAATCTTTTGAAAAAGTAAACCAAATCTCTACTTTTTATAAAATTTTTAGAAAAGCGAAAATAAGTAATAAAAAAACCACTTAATTGAATAAAAAAAGTATAGCTTAAGAAATATATATTTTTTACTATTTTACAGTTGTTTTACAACAGATAACTTTGTCAATAGAAAACTGTCTTACAAAATTTCATATATAAAAGTATTATTTTTTACTAGTTATTTTGTATAAAGATACTTTTATTAAATATATAAAAAAGTTTTTCCAAAACAAAGAAGAGTTGATTTTTATAAAAACTGTTTTATTGTTTATCTACTACAGGTTTGACTTACATTTTAGTAAAAAAAACTAAATTTTTTTTATAAGAGATTAGCATAATGGATATTTGATTTGATTGATTTAAAGATCACTAGATTATACAATATAAAAAAATTTTTTAAAGTAACCTTTACTATGAAAAATCACATTGTTAATTGGCAACTCATAGTTTTGTATAATAAATTTTTTTTAGAATATATTATTATCAGGAAGTTCGAAAGGTGTTAAATAACTAACGAAAAAGTGTTAACCTATATTGGGTTTGTTAAACTACACTTTTTATTAATAAAATTAGTATTAAATAACACTTTATGCATTAAACAACTTTAGTTATTTAACTGCATATCACGTTTGTTGACATGATATACAGTTAAATAACTAAAGTTGTTTAATGTATAAAGTGTTATTTAATACTAATTTTATTAATAAAAAGTGTAGTTTAACAAACCCAATATAGATTAACACTTTTTTATTAATTATTTAACACCTTTCGAACTTCCTGATGATAATGTTTTTTAATTCTTCATATGCTTTCTGAAAAAAAAATCAGTATAGATCAGTATCTTTAAAAACTTTATTTAGAAGGCAAATTTAGACAAATAAGGGCTGTGTCATTAATCACCTGATTATTTTTTATTAGAGACCTACTCCCCTCCCCCTCTCTTAATATACAAATAGTCAGATTTCATATATTGTATATAATTTTAACTTTTTTTACTCTCTCCCCCTTTAAAAAATTACCTGATTTTTGTCAGCTCTCTAATATGATTATACAATATATAACAAGTAAGTTAATTAGTATTAAACTTTTTTTTTGCTTTCAAACTTAATGTTTTTTCTATTAACTAAGCAACTAACAATATGATAATACTTTATCTAGTTCATATTTAAAATATTTATACTTTTTACAATTAAATTGCTTTTCTCAAAAATTATTAAATAACATGTATTTTTGTCTTTCAGATTTGCTTTAATAAAATCTTTAAATAATTGTTTAAATTATTTACAGAGCTATAAAATGCTTTTATAACCTTACTAAATTAAGCTTTATAAGTTTGCCTATTTGGTTAGTTCTCAAAGCTTTAAATTGTACTAATTGAAATTTTTTGCTCTTTTTTAACAGAGAGTAATTCTGCAATTGTGATTTATAGAATAACCAAGAACCCAAAGATAGTAACTACAGGATGGTTATAGAGTATGCAAAGCAGAGAAGTCTAAGAAAATCATTAGATAGTAAATATAGTGAATTAGATTGGGCTTTTAAAGTAGCAAACTTATATTATATAGCTGATAGACTTAATACAATTCACGAAGCTTATAAAGATTTTCATTCCAGCAATATAGTTAATTAAAATATACTATATTTAGTTTTTATATTATTGATTTTGGTTTATATAAGCCAGTATTACAAAACTCAAATTCAAAAAGACTTTTTAATATACTTCTGTATATTGCTCTAGAAATACTATATACAAACAGAAAGAAATATACTCAAAAATTAGATATTTATTCTTTTAGAATAATTATAGTATATCAGAAGTTTTTACTAGATATCTTCTATATTATGATATTTCATATAGCAAAGATCTAGCAATATGTATTTGTAGATTCAAAATTAGATACTATTACAATACTACGGCTTTTTTGCACCAACATAGCAAAGTAACATTGTATCTGGTACAGGGATCCTACTGTTGGGGTATACACAGAATAGAAGTAGAGTGCACTAACAATTCCACTAGCAGAAGGTAATGGTTTGGTATAAGATTAATATATAATTAAATACTTTATTTATTACAGGTTAAGAAGAATAACTTTACCTACTAGGATTACTCTAGAGGAAGTACATTACTTTATACAAGAACAAGAATAATAAGAAGGTAAGGCTAGATACTATGAGAGAGTAGAGAACTCTCTAAATTGAATAGAAAGAGCAAAGGCTCCCTTTTTATAACTTTCTATACATAAGAGGTATAATAGCTAAACTGTGTAAGAGATACTTGGAGGCACTTGTACAGAGGCACTTAGAGGTACTTATGCAGAGACACTTGGAGGTACTTATACAGAGGCACTTAGAGGCACTTATACAGAAGCACTTGGAGACACTTGTATAGAGGCACTTAGAGGCACTTATGCAAAAGCACTTGGAGGCACTCATACAGAGGCACTTGAAAACACTCATGCAGCATTACTGTGCTATATATAACTAGCCAATAATATTTCTATAACTAATACAATAATAAAGATAATAACTAATACTATACTAATAAATATAACTACAGTATATAATAATACTAATCTAAGTAAATATAGATAATACTGT